TTTACCCTGTAGAATCAGATCAACAACCAACCACCCTAAGAAGTACAGTATTCCAACTGTTCTTTATAGTTTCAAATTATTCATGAAAAGCCTTTTCACTGTGTCTGGTTACGAGTTCTGAGTCATGTCACTGAAAAGTTAAATCAATAGTTTTTAACATTTTTAGTGGGTAAGGTTTGATAAACTTCATTGAATTTATGAGATTTATATTCTGCTTCTTAGTATGTTGCAGAGGACATTTTAAAAGACCTGACATGATTAGAAATTAACTTTGAGAATTTGTAACGACTCTTGTCTGAGATCTACTGAACTGTCAGCAAATAAATCTTGGGCTTTCTCCAACCCATGATATGTCCCTCCTCACTCAACTGCGTACCCCCGTACAGAGAGCAGCACAGGCATGGTCCTGTCATAAAGGAGCTTATCACTTTAGTGGAGAATGGATGTTAATTAAACAACTACACAAATGAATGCCCAGTTGCCACCTAAGGTCCATAAAGAAAAAGTCCCATAATTTTTTAATTATTGTGGGACCCCTTCTAGGAAAGTTATCTCTGAAGACTCCTCACCGTATTGCTCAGCCCAGACAGCGGCTTAGAGTAAAGGTGGAGAGAACAGTCCAGGCTGCCAAGCACCAGAAAGGACCCAGGAAAGAGGGAAATAGTGAGTTTAGGAACTATAAAAAGATCCATATGCTTTAATAATACTTTTCTAGTTGATTTCATCTTAATCGATATCTTTCACAATAATTTTTTCTACTCTATAGAATATAGAAAAGATCTAGAAAGTAGCATTGAAATAATGCCATTGTATTCTAAAGAATTAACCATATTATATTTGATAATTTTTATTTCATATGGGCACACAGTTTCTCAAATTAATAGCCTATTTTTAACAGTATAATCTCATTTAATGTCCAGAGCAAAGCTGGGCTACCATGATTCCCAAGGTGCTGGTGAGGTGGAGAAAGTGAAGTAAAGTAATTGACCAAGCTCACCAGGCTAGTAAATGCATTTGAAGCCCACCCCTGGTGTCAGTGGAACCAGCACCATGCTGCTATTTCATGTTGGATAACTGTTAAATATGTGATGCTTGGGTTAAATGTCACTACAAAAATCAGGGTTCGATCACAGAAGCAGAGCATTAGGAATGCTCTAGAACAGTGGTTGGCAAACTGTGGCCCCTTGAGCGTGGTTCTTCCACAAAATACCACGTGCAGGTGCGCACATACAGTACGATTAAAACTTCGCAGTTTGCTGATCACTGCTCTAGAAAAAGGGATTGATTATAGAGATTGGGCCTTTCCTGATTGTGGGAGCAAAACCTTAAAAGCGGTTGGTCCCTAATAGAATAGATTCTCTTGTCTGTATGAAAATCCACTGTAAAACCAGAAGTTGAGATGTGCTACCATGTTTATAGACATCATATATTGAATTTTCTTGGCAAAATGCTGCTTTTTGATATACCAGACAGTCAGTTAAATTGAAGACCAATTTGTGAATATTCAGTTTTAAAAACTTAAGAATATAACTGGATTTGAGTCAGTCCTTAAAATTTCATAGATATTTACCTGCTCTTAAATATAGACACGGGAAAAGGTTTTATTATCCTATCTAATAATAGACAAACATGGTAATTGACCGTACCTTTGCTATGCCTCCCATTGGCTAATCAGCACGATATGCAAATTAACCACCAACAAAGATGGCGGCTAATTTGCATACTGTAGGCAGGGAGGGATAGCGCCATCCTGCCTACCCTGCTGCCATCTGGGCCTGCTATCTGCGACCCGGGGCGGTGGGCGTCTGTGTGCGACCTGACCCAGGGCAGCAAGGCGGTGCAGCACTGATCGGCCAGCCAGCCTGGCCTCCATACAGGCATCCCGTGCACGACCCGACCCGGGGTGGCCAGGTGGGGCAGCAGCGATCAGCTGGCCTGCCCGGGCGTCCCATGTGGGAACCAACCCAGGGTGGCACCCCAACCCCCGGATCGGCCCTGCCGTGTGTGCGACCCGGGGAGGCGGGGCAGGCACCAAGGGATCAGGCCTGCCATCTGCCACCCAGGGAGTGGGCCTAAGCTAGCAGGTGGTTATCTCCCGAGGGGTCCCAGACTGTGAGAGGGCACAAGTGGGGCTGAGGGACACCCCTCCACCCCCCTTCCCTGCCAGTGCACAAATTTTTGTGCACCGGGCCTCTAGTCCTATCTAATAAAAGAGAAACATGGTAATTAGCCATACGGCCGCTACCCTTCCCATTGGCTAATCACTGAGATATGCAAATTAACTGCCAGCCAAGATGGCGGCCGGCAGCCAGGCAGCTGACGAGAACAGGGAGGTTTGCTTGCTCCAGTGACGGAGGAAGCCAGGTTCCCCGCCTGCCCTGCCGGCCTCTCAGCTGCTTTCTAAGAAACATTGTTACAAATATAGAAACTAAACAAACCCCAAGAAACCTGCTTTAGTCAGCCAGGCTTCAGCCAGCAGGACTGCAACATTGTTTCAAATACAGAAGGTAAACAAAGGCCAGAAACTGCTTTCAGCAGCCGAGGTCTCATACCTGGAGCTGAGCCTCAGAGCTAAAGCTGGCCCAGAATAAAAAAAAAAGGAAAAAAGGAGCGGTTGGGAGCTTCAGTCACCCGCCAGCCTGAAAACAGCCCTCAACCCCTCACCCAGACTGGCCAGGCAACCCAGTGGGGTCCTCTACCCTGAAGGGGGTGTGACCAGATGCAAACAGCCATCATCCCCTCACCCAGGCTGGCCAGGCACCCCAGTGGGGACCCCCACCCTGATCCAGGACACCCTTCAGGGCAAACCAGCAGGCCCCCACCCGTGCACCAGTCCTCTATCCTATATAGTAAAAGGGTAACATGCCTCCAAGCACTGGGATCAGCGGAGCCGCGAGGTCTCCCGAACCTGGGATCAGTGTGACAGGGGACAGCACCCAAACCCCCTGATCGCCCTGCGGCTCTGTGTGTGACAGGGGGTGGGACCACAACCTCCCTATCCGTCCTGCTCTGTTCGTGACAGGGGAAGGCACCCCAACCCCCGATCAGCCCTGCTCTGTGCCTGATAGGGGGGAGCTTCCCAACCCCCTGATCGCCCTGCGGCTCTGTGTGTGACAGGGTGCGGTGCCCCAACCCTCCCCCCCCCATCGGCCTTGCCCTGAGTGTGACGGGGCAGCGCCCCAACCCCCTGATCCGCCCTGCTCTGTGAGTGATAGAGGGCTGTGCCCCAACTCCCCTATTGGCCCTGCTCTGTGAGTGACAGGGGGCAGCGCCCCAACCCCCTTGATCGGCCCTGCTCTGTGCGTGACAGGCGGTGGCGCCGCAACCTCCCCATCGACCCTGCCTTGAGTGTGACAGGGGGCGGTGCCCCAACCCCCCAATCGGCCCTACCCTGAGTGTGACTAGGGGTGGCATCGCAACCTCCCAATCCACTCTGCTCTGTGCAGGACAGGGGGCGGCGCCCCAACTCCCCAATCGGCCCTGCTCTGAGCCCAACCAAGGGCTGCACCTAGGGATTGGGCCTGCCCTCTGCCACCCGGGAGTGGGCCTAAGGCAGCAGGTCATTATCTCCCGAGTGGTCCCAGACTGCAAGAGGGCACAGGCTGGGCTGAGGGACACCCCCCCCCCCCCCGAGTGCACAAATTTTTGTGCACCGGGCCTCTAGTATATATATAAACAGGGAATATGCTAATTAGCCAAGCATCACTACCACTCAGGAGAAGGCTGCATCACGACTGCTCAGGAGGCGCTGCATATTCAGATGGGCGGGAGGAGTCTGCATGCTGCCCCCACCCCAGTGGCTGCCGGGAGGCTGGGGCTGGGCATGGGCCAGAGTGGAGACACAACACACGGAGAGGCTGGGGCTGGGGGTGGGCTGGAGCGGAGACACAACACACAGGAGTGCCTACCCCCACCCCAGCCAACACAACGCGGTGGCCGGTGCTACACGGGTCCCGGCCCCCCACGGGGTGCCTCCTCACATGGCAGGAGGCAGGGTGCCTCTTTGCACGATTTCAGTCGTGCTCTGGGCCTCTAGTATTTCATAAAGATGATACTTGCTAGACCTGGAAGTACTCTGTTGCAAATACCCATAGTTCACATGCTATCCTATATAATAAAGAGGCAATATGCAAATTGACCATCACGCCCTCACACAAAGATGGCCGCCCCCATGTAGTCAAAGATGGCCACCCCCATGTGGTCACAAGATGGCTGACAGGAGTGGGCATTTGGGGGCAACCAGGCCATCAGGGGGACAGTTGGGGGTGACCAGGCCTGCAGGGGAGGGCAGTTAGGGGTGACCAGGCCAGCAGGGGAGGGCAATTAGGGGGGACCAGACCTACAGTGGAAGGTTGTTGGGGGGGGACCAGGCCTGCAGGGGAGGGCAGTTGGGAGCAATTGGGCCAGCAGGGGAGCAGTTAGGCGTCGATCAGACTGGCAGGGGAGTGGTTGGGGGGTGATCAGGATGGCAGGCAGAAGTGGTTAGGGCCAAACAGGCAGGCAGGCAGGCGAGCGGTTGGGAGCCAGCAGTCTGGGATTGGAGAGGGTGCAGGCTGGGCTGAGGGACACACACCCCTCCCCCACATGAATTTCGTGCACCAGGCCTCTAGTATTATTATATGCATAATACTCCTATTAGAATTTCTGCAGTGTGTTTCATGACTTGGGTTGCCATTTTAATTCATGCCCTATCTTTTACCCATTCCAGTAATTTTGCCATTTGCTTATGGAATGCACCATATAAAATTCAGAATTCTTACCTTTCTTTTTTTTTGGTTCTTTGAGAACCTTTGACCTTAGAATTCATTTATTTATTATGTCCATGCAGTGATCATAATTATTCTAATATGTCTTTTCACAGACATGGTGATTTCATTTCTAGGCATAATGCTTTTAGCAGTAATAGGTTGTATCTATTAAGAGTGTGTATTTTGGACCATAGTACTAATCTAACTAATTTTTATCAGATATTTATTAAAATTCTAAAATTTAGATTTTCTCTATTTTCTACCTTTGGGTGGATTTACAGGTAGTAGTTATTACAGTGATTTTTCTACCTATTTCTTGACTGTGACTGTGATATTAACCTTTTATAATTAAGACGCTCTGTCTCTTTGACACATAGCATGCCCTTTTAGTTCGTCTTAATTTTTTTAACCTCCAGTCATTTTTTAAAAATTGTATCCATTTACTCATGTACCACTTCATTGGTACCTTCAAATGCTAAATGCTGTCTCATTTATCCTTAGTAATCATGCTGGATTTTTCTGTCCTTTTTAATATTTAGGTTTTATTGGATGAATGTAGATTGCACCTTCTCTAACTGTGTCTTAAATAATTGCCACTTAAGGGAATTAAGAACTACAAGGGAAGGAAAATGCTGACCCATAGACTAAGCAGAGGGAGAAAACGTTCCCACTGGGTCCAATTTCCTAAGAAGGACCATCAGGATAGTGGCTGGGACCTGAAATTATGGTCTGAATGACCTCTAGCAAATGTTCAGCTCACAAAGGAACTTGCCTGTGTGTGCACCAAGCAAAATAGGGCTAGGTGGTAGTCACCCCACTGAAGAAAGACAGCTAGCTCCCTGTCCTTGGCAAGGTTATAAAAGCTCGAGGAGAAAAAATAATCATTTAGAGCATGGAGACAGAGTTGACATTGCAGGATAAGACGTGATCCAAGGTTTAATACAAGCTAGCGCAGGGATGCCTTTGATCCAGAAGGTAGGTCAAGAAGTCCCTTAAATTCTAAACATGCACTTTTGATCATGTCATCTGTTTATTATTTTAGGACATAGTTTCTGTTGTTTGCAATACCTAGACATTTATCTAAACAGGCATACTTAAGCATCCTTAGACTGCCACACTCCACATTTCTCTTATATTTTACTCTGTAAGCTGGACTCTTGAGAATGAATATGTTGGAAAATTAGAATTGAAATACAAGAAAATTGATCTTTTGTTATTTTAGTTAAAACTTTCTATATTGACAGATAATCACTATGATATTTTCTATTTAAATACAAAGTGTAAGATAGCAGGTAGATTTTTTAATGTATAATGATATTCAGTAGCTCAGTAATAACTTGACATCAGAAGTCCAATTAGGACTATTGTGTTTCCAAGTCTTTTACTTATAAACCTCAAACACTTAATAATTGAAGTGTGAAGAAGAAAGGCAATGATGTCAATTAATAAAAAAGGCATTATATCTTTGTTCTAAAAATATTCACATGAAATATTCACTTTCATTTTAAATTCTTACATAGTCAAGTGATGATAAAGATAAATGTCATAATATATATATGACCTCAGGGTTTCATAAGACATGAAGAACTGAACTAGATAGGAAAAGATAAGTAAACAAAGTTTTACAATCAATTATGAGAAAATATTGACAACATGTAGGACAGAGATAGGATTAATATAGCCCAGTATTCACTCTGAAGGTCACTATTCCTGATTCACAGAAACCTCTCTCAAATTGATTTTTTTTTTTTTAAAAAAAAGGCAAATTGCAATAGGCATTTTAAAATTCAGATTATCAGTAAGTATATACAAAGATGTTTAACCTCATTAATTATCAGTACCTCAAGACAATAAGATGCCAATTTTTATCCATTGGCAGGAACCTGAAAGGTTGAGAATAACCAGTGATTGAGCACTTGTTGGAAAATTGGAAATCTCATATGTTCCAGGCGTGAGAGTATGTTGTTAACACTATTGGAAAGTGAGTTTAGACGTACTTTAAATTTTAAAGTGCACATACCATTTGACTCAGCAATTCTGTTAAGCATCATTCTGTGGAATAAGTGTCCCAGTGTGTGAGGAAACTTTGTTGTCAGTTATTATAATGGCCAAGAGCCAGAGACCATGTAAATGCCATCAGGAGGGGACTACTCATAGAGTGGATAAAGACACAGTTGTTAAAATGAACTGGATGCATGTGTGTTCACCTGATCATGACAAGTGTTTACATGCAGAAAAGGAGATTGCACATAATGGACCTGCTGTGACTATCTCTTTCTTTAAAAGGGTGGAGAAATAGCACCCTGCATGTATATTTGTACGAGCAGAGACTCATACAGATAACATGCACTAGCCTGTTGATATTGGTCATCCCAGGGACAAGCTTAGATGATGAATGGATGCTGCACATTTTTTTCTTTATGGAACACTGTATTCCAGTGGCTTTTCTTCATAACAAAAACATGTTACTTCTATAATTTAAGAGCTTCTAGAAAGATGTTAAAATGATATGTTGGGAATGTTCCTAGCTTTATTTTTTAATGTATGTACTTGTTTAGAAACAATGATGGACCTAAAGATATAAGCTTTTCTGTACTTTCTGTAACATGTTGCTTGTTATATTTTAAAGAGAAGGCAGCAAATGCTACTAAAACTATTCTGAACACCTGAAGAATCAAAATTAAGGAAGTAGGTCCCTCCCTGCCAGTGATGTCAAGATGGCCAGTATGGTATGGTAGACAAAATGATTGTCTTAGAAAGAGATAAGCCTGAACTCTGAGCTGACTCTGGCCCTTCCCTGCGTGTGGCCATGGGACACTTAGCACATCTGTTAGCTTCAGGTTTTGCATGTAGGAAATGGGTTCAGAAACCTGTCCAGTCATGGAGATCATGGGAATTAGCTTACTACATCACGTAAAGTCTCTATTACAATGCTCCTCAAATAGTACTCACCAATTAAATCATCTACTTTCTCCTAAGATTCCAGTAAAACAGGGAATGCATAAAGGGTCTCAGCAGGGCACTTGCTGGGGAAGGAAAGGGCAGAGATTAGCCTTCTGGGTGGAAGAGCCAGGTCCTGGCAGCAGGGTTACTGGCCAGGGCTGGAGAGGAGAGGCTCCAGATGGGACCAGAGAGGTGGGGAGGAGCCAGAGTGTAAGGAAACTGGGGGAGTAATGGAGGGTGACCTGGTGAGATTTGTGTCATTCACTGGCTTTGTGCCTGTGAAGTATTCAACTTTGCTGTCTGTCTCCTCAAACACTGAAACGATAAGTCCTGCTTTGTAAGAGGAAAATAAAACAAGTGTCCATGAGGTATCTGTTACATACAGTTCACTCAGGGAAGATTGGTTCCTCACATGTCCACATCCTTCGATTGACCTCCAGTCCCTCTCCCAACAGCAAGTCACAGCACCAACTGTGTTGGGGACTCTATATTTTGAATGTACTACATTTTCTTTTTCTTCTTTTTTTTAAATCCTCACCGAGGATTATTTTTTCCATTGATTTTTAGAGAGAATAGAAGGGAGGGGGAAGGAGGAAGGGGGTGGGGAAGAACAGAGAAATCAATGTAAGAGAAACACATTGATTGGTTGCTTCCTGCACACGCCCCAGTAGGGGCCTAGGGTGGAACCTGCAACCCAGGTATGTGCCCTTGACCAGGAATCAAATGTGAGACTATTCGGTGCATGGGCCGGCTCTCTATCCACTGACACACACCACAGGGCACATTTTCTTTTCTTTTTATATTTGCTTATTTCTTAATTGGGTTACTTGAACCATGCATTCCCTCCCTCCCTCCCTCCCTCCCTCCCTCCCTCCCTCCCTCCCTCCCTCCCTCCCTCCTTCCTTCCCTCCCTCCCTTCCTTCTTTCCTTCTTTCCTTCCTTCCTTCCTTCTGTCTTTCAGGTGTTTACACAGACACATCCTCTGTTAGTTCAGGTCAGATAGTAGTGAGGGAAGGCTCCAGAAGGTGCTGACTGAATCATGCAGTGGAGTTGGGGTGGAGGGGGATCGAGGCTGGAGACACTTCAGGGGGTAGTGTCCCCATCATTCTTTCTCTCTTGAAACTTCTTGATTCGAGGCTTTCCTGTTGGATGCCTTTTCTTTCTGTTACTTGTCACCAGAACACTATTCAGTGATTTTTGTGATGCCCTGCATGATTACAAACCACTCCTTCTAATCCCTAATTGCTTGTTGATCAGAATCCTGAATTTTCTCAAGCATTTATTTGAAGGTGTCTTCAGTATCCATACCGTGTGCACTTCAGCCTCCTCCCCCTGCTGGGCTGGTGCGGTCCATCACTCACACACTTCCCTTAGCCAGATGGGTCCCAGGGCAGGTGAGGCTCCCTGGTTGACCTGCATTCATGAAGCTGGAGCTCTTAGTAGGTTTGCTCCCTAAGGATCCATTGATTGAGAGGTTGGGAAGGTATTCTAGATGTGCAGGGAAAAACAGATACACACCCACAATCAATGCATAAAATGCATTGGAAAGCATGTATTTGAATATCTGAAAGAAAATAGGGTTATAATGAATGAGAATAAATCAGAATTTCTCAGAGTACAGTTAAATGGGTTAAGTATATAAATTATTCTTTCTTTAGTAAATAAAGTTACTGGGTTTTTTCCCTTCATTTATTTCCTATTACATGAAGACTATGTTTGATGATATCAATGTAGAGCTACATCAAAGATGCTTGTAGAAGAGAAAATACACAGCCTTGAGTTGAACCCTACGAAATAGAGCAAAAGCTTCCCCAACAATGGTGCTATATTTATTAATGCTTGTTTTATTCCTTCATATGGAAAGTTGGAAAAGCTCTGCTAGGGTTTGGAGGAGTTCCCTCCTCATATTCTTACTCCTCATGCACAGAGCCCCTCATATTCCCACTCCTCCTCACGCACAGAGCTCTTCATATTCTCCCTCCTCCTCCTGCACAAAACTCTTCATATTCTCACTCAGAGCTCTTCATGTTCTCAAGCCTCCTTATACACAGAGATTTTATGTTCTCAATAACTGCAAAATGGCAGGAACAGGCATGAATAAAACCTGTCAGCCTCAAAAATCATCTCCATGGCTGAGTTTAGGTACTCTGTGAGGCTGATGAGCACTGAGTTTATAAACTATTAGTAGAAATGTCAGAGAAAAGGATATTGCAATGTTTATCTGCACCTGAATCCCTGTGCATGTATCTTCCCTGCAAAATGTATGGTGGGCTTTTTGAGGTCGTGAAAGTATGTAGAGCCTCATGGATGCTGGTGACCAGAGAAGAATGAAGATCATCACACTTGTCTTAAGAGCTCTTCATAATCTCGGATGTTCTAGCAAGATTTTTATATTCTTCTGTTTGTTTCTTTTCTGAGCTAAAGTTTTGATAACAATAGAAAGGCTGGGAAATGTACCTACTGACACATGGGTGTGGGGTCAGATCTAATCAAACTTATCCTTACAACAGAGACAAGACTTTCTTTGAATGGTTTGTAAAAATCGTTTTAATCCGAAGTAATAAATAAATAAATAAATAAATAAATAAATAAAGCCATTCCACACATGCTTTTATAAGGCACTTGGTGTTTGGGCCTGAAGCACATGTTCGTAGGTCACTGATGGCCTGCAGTAACCAGGCTCTAGGTGTGCCCTGTAAGTGAGGTCAGTGCCCACACCTGCCTGGTGCACTCCTTTATAGGAAAGTCCTACGTTTACCAAGTCTTGGGTGTGATACCAAGGACTTGATATTTTGGGGGTATTTTTTCATTGTTTTTTCTTCTCCCACCATCTTTTAAGAACCAACCTCTTTTTGAAGAGTTAATGACTATTAGATCCTATTGGAAGATCTATTATTACCCTGTTGTAGAGGTTTTCTAGATTCTATCCCCAAAGCAGTCACCTTAAAAATCATTGGGCCTGATAGTTAATATTTATTGTGAAAATGAATTCATTAGCATTATTTCCACTGAAAAAGCCATGCTTAGAATTTACAACCTAATTACATATAACTAGTATATTGTTATTTTCCTAAGAATTCTGATTTTTTTTACATCAACTCATCTAGAGATTAAAAATATAGATGTCACTGAAAGAATAACAAGTGTAAAATTATTACCTCCACAGCTAACGTTTAGATTTTATGTTACTCAATGTTTTAGCACATTGGAGTTCTTTTACAGCTGCTACCTTGTGCATGAGCATTCATTTTCCATGTGAAGATTGAATTATTTGTCTAAGTCACTGCCCTACTGAAATTTCACAGTATATTTGAGGGGAACTGGACCACGAACACACAGGTTGTTTGTTCTTCATGGAGGCTCAGACATGGATCTACTGATGAGCGAGATCACAAATGCAGGTACATTTTGTATTTAAAGCCCCAAATTCAAAGGAGACAGTTTAGGCTTGAATGGACCTCATAAGTTGGTTGATACATTGTACTGTTCAATCAAATTGAACCACAGCTACAACAATCAAAGTCTTGGGAGAACCAGAATGTACCTCATAAAGTAACTAGAATGAAGAGCCTAGTGTGTGAGTGGAATCTTCCAGCCTGAAATCCATTCTCTTGACAAACAGGGTAAGTAATGAAAGGACAGTGTCCTACTAAGTGTGGCCCTGCAGGGGCATGGGATTGGAGAAAGAGTCACCACTAAATGCCTCATAAATTGACCACACTAAATGCCTCATAAAGTGACACTGGTTCTGCCAAACAGTTTCCCCTTATTTAAACCTTTACAAGGCTATTCTGTGTATTATCTGCGGCTCACCTGGAAGAATGTGGATCGCTAACAGAAATAGGGTGTTGTAATCAAATAAAGTGTTCCCACTTGTTAGCATGTTACCAAATGTTTGAAACCAGATTACATACAACCTGTGTACTCATTACATCTGTGGGGTCTGAAAGCTATGTGGAATATTTAGTGCTTTGGATTATAGTGGGGCTTATACTTATTGCCCACCAAAGGCATCTACTCAGATGTGAGCTAGCTTTTACATTCTTTTCATAGAAAATAAAATCTGTTGATGATTTTTGAATTTAAAAAGTGTGTTATTCTACATTGATTTCTAAATTTATATGGATTCTTTAGCTGAGAAAGACAGTTCATCAGTGACCGTTCTGTTACCTGACAGCAATTGATAAAGCATCCATGTACAAGTGCCAGGAAAGGTTAATATTTATTGATTTCCATTGGGCTGCAACACATGTAGTTTTGCCATCCGAGATGTATGGCCAGCAGCCCTGGAATCAGTCCACTGCAGAGCGCACACTAGACTTTGTTATAACCTAGGCCAGAACTCAAGATTCAAAAAATGGCAGGTATTTAACAGAAAGCCCTGAATGTGCAGCTACCTGTATTTGAATTTAATTTTTTTTAAATTTTTTTTATTGATTTCAGAGAGGAAGGGAGAGAGATAGAGAGATAGAAACATCAATAATGAGAGAGAATCATTGATTGTCTGCCTCCTGCACGCCCCCTATAGGGGGGGATTGAGCCCGCCACCCGGGGATGTGCCCTTGGCCAGAATTGAACCCAGGACCCTTTAGTCCAGCAGTCGCCAACCGGTGGTCCACAGACCACTGGTGGTCTGTAAAGTCTGAAAGGTTGGGAACCACTGCTTTAGTCTGCAAGCCGATGCTCTATCTACTGAGCCAAACCAGCTAGGACTTGAATTTAATATCCTATATAATAAAACCCTAATATGCAAATTGTCCCCTCGGGCAGTCATTCGACTGGGAGTTTGATCAGGAGACCAGGAGTTCAACCACTCGCTATGACATGCACTAACCACCGGGGGTGGCATGGGCCATGGTAGGTGTCGGTGGTGAGATGCTGGCAGCGGGCAGCAGTGGAGGCACTGTCGGCCCCAATGGGCCCCGATGAGAGCGGGACCACAGCAGGATAGTGGAGCAGGTGAGCGGGTGGCGTCCTGCCAAGGTGGGTGCAAGTGAGGGCCCGATCACACAGCTGATTGCCCTGCAGATGGCAACTGGCAGGGGGTGGGGCTGCCGCCCGGCTCCCAGGTGCTGAGGGAGCTGGGCAGGGGTGGGGGGCCAGGCCCCAATCGATCGCCCTGCAGGCAGGATGGTCAAACAGGTGAGGGGCGGTGCCACGCCAAGGTGGGGTGCCAGGCGGGGTGCGAACTGGGGCCTGATCTCCGCAGGCCACCCCAAGGGACTCCACCCGTGCACAAATTCATGCACCGGGCCTCTAGTTTTAACATGAAACACAAGAGCACTTAAAAACTAAAAACGAATCCTTGCTTTGCAAACAGCAATCCCATTCAGCCTTTACTTGACTGTATGCTATTGATCTGAGGAGATTTCCAAGCAAGTGAGAGCTGAAATTATGAGCAATGAAGGGCTTCTTTAGAAAAAAAAGTATGTAATTAGCAGAGAAAGGGAAAAGCCTGTGTTGTTTTAAAGAAGTTTCAAAGAAACATTTTGAGTGCTACACCAGTGTTCACAGGAGCCAAGGAGCAGTCTCAGCTTGGAACCATGCATTCAATCTCTGGAGGCAGCTTGTGGGTGAACATTAGGGGAACCTGATTTTTCCTTAGTCTCTATCTGCATCTCCCTGTCTCACATGTAATAGCCAGCAACCCTGACCTCTTCCTGTACCTCTGCTGACTTCCTTCACTCATGCCATGCTTGCTGGGTGACACTGCACAGGTTCCAGTTCCTAATAGGTGAAATCAGAAGTTATGGACAGAGTGCGCTGAAGTTCCTCCCTAGCCCTCAAAACCCCAGGCTTAACTAAAAGTCTCCTCCTAGATTTGAGACTTTAAAGCAAGTTTGGAATATCCTTCTGCAAGATGTAGTGGAAATCCTAATGCTAGAAGAACAAATTGCTTGCCCAGCTCCATGGATCTCGGAGTGTCTGTAAGTGTTTTTAGAGCCACCCCCAGTCTTGTGTTGCTTGCGATTTTTTTCTTCCCTCACACACCTCTTGCCCATTTTATTATGCATATTTGAAGAAAAGGAAGAGTTTTGCTTCGTGAAAAGGAAGCGTGAATCTCCTAGAAAACCACTCTTGTAGTTTAAATATTATTTGAATATATGGCAACTCTAATTCTAAAATTTAAAAAAATAAAAAGATTGAGTAAATTCCTGAATCAGTTCTAAATGCCATTCACAATTTGACGAGTTTTCTGTAAGGAAGGCTTCATTTCCCCTCATTTTATTAGTCTTACATATAATACTGCTAAAATTTTCTTCATAAGCACCAGTGTCAAATAAATCTAATTTTTTATATAGTTTTAATTTATTAATTCTCTGTTGATTGTCATTAATCTAATTTTCTCCTCCTTTCTCTCCCTTCACCCCCCTCTTTTACATAAGTACAAAGCCGGGTCTTATAGTAATAGCATAATAATTAAAACTGCTTCCTTAAAGCGCCCCATTCCTTACACTGCTATTCCTCCTGCCAGAGCAGCCTGTTTGTGCTGTCTCCCCCCTCCCACTGCCTCTCTGGTTTCCCCTGCTCACCTGAAACCCTCAGATGGCAACCAGTGACAGGCTCCCTGAGCACCCTGTTTCCTTCCACAATTAAACACTGCTGCCAGAGGCCGGTCACTGGTGTGCACAACTCCCTCACCCCAAGTGAATCATTGTTATGTGTGAGGTTTTAGGATATTATTAATTTACTGTGCATCACCCTGTTTAGGAATGTACAACAGAAAAGCAGCGAGACACAGGCCAGAGCACCTTATAGAATCAACTCAACTGAAAGAGGAAAGAGAACCATTTCAAACCATTCATTCCAAATTAGAGAATCACTTTAAGTTTTGTGAATAATAGTGTGACTAAATGTGAAATTTTCAAATTTCACAAAGCCAGACTTACTGTTAGAATCAGGGAGGTTGTGCAATTCTAATAACTGTGGGATGTATTTTCTGCCCCAGCCCCCAGGAAGAAGTACATCATTTGAATCACTCTTTTTTATCAAACGTATTATTTGCTTTTCAGTTTCAAATTTACTGATTTAAAAGATGTACTTTATTTTGTGAATTGTCAGAAAATGTGAACAGAGAGATATTTTATCCCCATTTTAAATTTTTTATTTACTTATTTAACTTTGTGTATATTTTATTTCTAAATAACATATACATTTTAACAATTAATGCATGTTTCATAACAATTCATATGGTTCTCTTTTCTTTTTTTGGATTGAAACTAAAAACTAAACAGGATTTTAGTGATTTGGTTTATATTAGACATACATTAAAAATTAAATACAAAAACTAAGCATAAATCTGGCAAATGAAAACATGTTTTTAAAAGTAAAAATAATAACAACAAAGCATCCTAGGAAATAATGACTAAAATAACATAGTTTTTAAGCTTCATTTTTGGACAGCTAATCTATGTTGCTATCTTTGAGAGTGAGATTTCTAAATATATTTTAGTTCTCTTTAACTGTGCTTAATCATACAAAGTGTGATTGGCTTTGGATTAATACCATTATAGTTCTCAAAAACAGTTTTTCACTGAAAAACTGTGTTTGTTTTAGTCCTTGAAGCAGGAGTTAGTAGTATAAATGGTTTACCTCATCAATTTGACTATCAGAAAAAGCAGGTCATTCTTGTCACCTGACAGGTAAGATTCTGCTGTCGCACTCATTGTCCCAAGCTGGATGATGCTGAAGCCATTCCAGGACAATTCATTGTTTTTATCCTGTGTTTGTGTAATTGTGAAGAAGGGGACAAGCACTTTTGTGGATCTTTCAGGCCAGTCTCTTCTGTATAGTTTGCTTTCTTTCTTCTAGTGAATTGTATCACCTAATTTTAGCTGAAATTATTACTGGTTTCATGTGACCTGGGAGAATTAAAAATATTGTTCAGTAAGAAGACCCAGTCAAGATGTTTTCCATGCCAGCCTTAGCCGAGCCATTTCTTAATTGCAGCTCGTTTGGGAATTTTAAAGTGTCATTTTTGTTAGAGCTGGACCTGGCAAAGTCCACAGAGTCCTTCAGTAGAGTGTGATGTGAAATGGCATCATTTAAATTAAAAAATAAATCTGAGAAATGTTTCAGCCCTGAAAGTCATGGGCGCTCAGCACCAGCTGCAGCAGCAGGGTGCAGCGCTCCCCTCCCCCTCAGTGGCTGCCCCTGTCTCTGTGCTGTCATCTGGGCAGGGGCCAGGCCCAGGCCACACAGGCTCACACTGAAAGGAAGCCCCGTGCAGACACATAGGTCGGCAGGCCCGGGGTTTGCAGCCAGCCTTTCTCAAGTTCCCTGTGAAGGAAGCCGGAGCAGCACTGCTCTCAGAGCAGGACTCCCGCCCCTCGCCAGGCCTTTGTCTCCACCAGCCTCCTTCAGTGCTTTAGTGCTTTCCCCTTTTCTTAGGAACTCTCAGCCCCGCGCCTTTGTACTGTTTTTTACACAAGAACACTGGAAACATGCTATAAATCCATACCCACAGAACAGAGGGGGACACAGAATGACCTCAGAGGTCAAATAATGAAGTGCAGGGCTAGTGGTGGGAGCCAGGACACCTCTCTCTCAGTGGGCAGTGGACCAGGCGCCCCTCAGAGCTGGGACTCCCCATCACCTTTGTAAAGAAGGAGTTTTCTGTCTCGCAGAAGGTAGCATTTTCCCTGCTCCTTCTCCTTTCTGCTTACCTTGCTCTGTTTAGAAGAGTAAATTCATCTCATAATCCTTTGTCCACTAATTTTGTCTAATGGGAGCCTTTTCTCATTGGTACTTTTTTTCATTTCAAGTGCCGTGGGAATATCCTGTCTTTCTGTTATTTATTATGACCTTCTGCTTGTTAATCCGAGGTGTCCACTGACATTCACCTGCTTTTAGTCTTCATTACTCAGACTGTGCAGTTTATTTATAAAACATGTTTCAGATTGCTGGCTTCTAGCTGACTTTCCCCCTAGTCTCTCCTTTCTTACACAATACTGTGTATCCATAGACATCACTGTTGAGGTTTTAATTCTGTCCAAATTATTTGTCTAGTTCTGAATTCCCGTATAGAAAACTTAGAATTTCAAGCAATACCAAATTAATTTATCACTTTATCATTCATTCTGAAATATTATATTTGGATTTTTGAAAATTACATTTCTTAAGAAAATAACTTATCACATCCATTTGTTATTAATCCTAAGGAAAAATGAAGTTCACCTTTGAGAAGAGAGGGAAAACAAATGTTAAAAGAGTACGAGGGGGCGTTAAAATAACAATACCTCGAAATTTCTAAGCATCTTGGCTGTGTGTAAGAAAGCCATGTTAAAATGTAGATAACTTTAATTAGAAATCAGAAAACAACAGCAAGAACACCTGGCCTTAAAATAAGATTTCAAATCAGTTATGCATTCCAGAATTAAAGTCAGAAATAAAGAAGAAATACCATAACTTTGAACTCTTAATGTGTTTTATGTAAAGGTGCTGTTGTTGTTGTTTTCAGCAGGCAAATTAGAAAGCATGCCAGCATATGAAAAGGACAGGCACTCAAAAAGTTGGAAAGCAAACTAAAAAGATTCAAGTCTAGTTAGCCATTGTGTTGCTTTATAGAGCAGACACAACGAACAGATGCAGAAGAAAATGAGCAATGACATTATGTGGCTGATAAACAGAGGAAGAATATTTGACATAGTACATAAGCCATTTAGGATGTTTTCAGCAGATACGCTTCTATCAGGCAAACACATTTGAAATCAGATACTTAAGTGAACCACTGGACATTATAAAAGCAAGGACACTGACGAATGAAAAGCCCATTGAACCAGGAGCTTATGGGTCTGGAAGCTGGTCCTATTGCTCAGGGTCCCTGTTATAGGTGAGCACTTAACCCCTCTCTGCTTTAATTCCCCTGAAATAAAAGATAATATTTTAATAGATGAGCTCACTGCGTCTTCTCAGAACGATGCACTGTAATTTTCTGAGATTACAAATAATACTGCATTACAACCCTAATCTCCTGGTAATCTCTTTCATAATTCTTAATTGTTGAGATTTTGAGGAAAGCACAAACTCAGAATATTGGTACTTTTCTAAAAGTCTGCCTACAGTTTCCAGGGAATCTGAGATCATTGTGAAGGCCAAGGATAATTGGAGAATGAGACAGTTGTACAGAATAGGATGCATGGAGAGTGGACAGTAATTCTAGGAAATTTTTCATCAGATTTAATAGACACATGAACAGATATTAAGTTAGAAAATTTAAAATACACACCAAATGAGAATCTCTCAGTGGGATTCTCTAGGAAGCATTGTTAGAGCAATCACAGGGCATTGTAAGGAGTTTTCCTAGAATTTGTTACTCAAAAGTAGTATACCTACCCCTTGCCATTAATGAGAAATCATCACTTAAGTGATCAACAGCCCTGGAGGCCAGGGAAGAAAATCCTTGTTCATTTTAGAGCAATGACTAACTTGTGAATAGAAAGACTGTGTAACTTAGTGGCTGAGAATCACATTTGTGATTCTCTGTGCATTCTTGGTAGCTGATGGCATCTCACACTGGGTATGTTCCAGGCTCTGTGCTGTGCCCACAGACATTCTCTCCTTTCTTCCTGAGCATGGCCACAGTGCTGCGCTGTCAGTGGAGATCAGGAGAAGGTTGTGCAGGGAGGCAGGGCCCAACCAGAGTCACCCCACAGTGTGCCCTGGCTTCTCAGTGCTCTTTGGTACCAGCCGTGGCTCCTGGCCCTGGAGACAGGGCCCAGCTCTCAGGAGGATAGGTAATAAGGAAATCAATAATAAATACACACCACCATGCCATGTTGAGAAAGAGGTAAGAAGAGAAGCAAAACAGAATTGGATGAGAGAGGGAGTCTGCCTGGGAGGGGCTAGAACTCTTTCATACATTATCAGGGAAAAGTCTCTAAGAAAATGATTCTTAAGAAACAGTTTTATTGAGTAACAGTTAAAATACAATAAACTGCATGAATTTAAAGTGGAGAATGTGATGAATTTTGACACATGTATAAATCCTGGAAACAGTCACCATGATGAAGATAATGAACATGCCCATCTCCAAAGCTGTAAGGAAGTGACTTTTGAGTGGAGACCTGAACAAAGCGAAGCAGGAGCTGGAAAATGTGTCACTGAGAACAGCATGTGGACCCCAAGGGAGAATGACCTTGTGGGTGTGAGGTGGGCTGCAGCGGTGAAGGACCAGCAGGCAACTCAGAGGGCTGCACAGGGTCTGGTCCTCAGGGGAGACACCTGGACAGCTTTCAGCTCCAGCTGCTGTAGTGATGCATATGTATCAGAAGTATTAGAGAGATGTATTATATGTATTACATATGATGTAGAGATGTATAATGTATCAGATGTCTTATGGAGATGTATTATATAGTGTATGTCATGTGGAGATATGTTATATCATATATTATCTATAAAGAGATGTATCAATACCAAATGTTTTATAGAGATACATTATTATATATCATATATATGAAGTGGAGTTTGTATTTTTTAGCATATCTATATATATAAAACCTTAATATGCAAATAGACCTATTGGGGCTGGGGAGGAACAACTGAACAACTGGTTGCTATGATGTGCGCTGACCACCAGGGGGCGCGCGTGGAATATGGTGGGCATCGGCCGCGTAGGGATGGTGGAGCAGGTGAGAGGGGGCACCAGACGAAGGCGAGGTGTGGGTCGCTGTCATCCAGGCGAGCCTCTGGTGGTTACTGAAAATTCTTTGCACCCACGCACCACAGTCCAGCTACTCTTGAGAGGCCATCAGGGCTGGCAGCCGCCTCTTGCACCCACTGCCGGCAACAGACCCGCTTGCACCTGCTGCCGGTGCTGGAGCCACCACTTGCAGCCCCTGCCGGTGCCCGACACTGGTCCCCATTGCTCGGCACTGTCAGCGGGTGGGAGCCGTGGCTGCTGGCCCCGATTGCCCCTGAGGGTTTCTCCACCTCCCCCTGCTCCTGAGGTGTGACCAGGGCAGCAGCTGCAGCTTGTACCCACTGAAGGCACCAGCCCTGCTCATATCCACTGCTGGTGCTGGCCCCAATTGCTCATGCCAGCAGCAGGTGCGAGCGGGGCCGGAGCCATCAGCGCAGAGCTGCTTGCAGACAGGGAACTGGGGGCCGCGGCGGGAGGGGCCAGGCGGGGGCGCAGAGGGTGGTCTGAGACCCTCTCCTGTGCCCACCGCAGCCTCACAGCCCACAGTTCCTTTCAAGGTGCACGAATTTGTGCACTGGGCCCCTAGTATGATATAGAGATGTATTATATGTCTGGCTGTTGTAAAGGTGATGCTACAACTGTGGAGACAGGTGACTTAATTCTGGGTTGGTTCATTGGTGGAGATGAGTTCTGAGTAGTGAATGGAAGGCAGTAGGGAATGTGTTTGAGGAACAGGAAGGACTTTAAGGGTGGAGGTTGTGTTCTTGTTGAGGGCTACTAAGACAGGACAAGACCTGAGTGGCTTGCAGGATTGGCTCTCAGGTTTGCAGTTCTCCCAAACGATCTTATCCACAACCAGACATAATCTGACCAAGTCACAATAACTAAATTGTGCAAGATAATGGTATAAACTGGAATGTTATTCTTCATATAATAGTGAAGCAGACTGGAATTCTCATGTCAGCCATCATCAACACATCTTCCTGTAGAAAGCTACCTGTGAACCCATTCATAATCAGTGTTGCTTTACTGAGTTGGAAACCAGATCAGGTAACAATTGAGTTAAAGTGGCACTGGGATCCTGGAAGTGTCTCCAGGATGCCCCTGACCTGAGCACTGGGGGGTGCGGTGTGCCAGGTGTGTGTCCTTTTCTGAATGCCACCTGGGGTTATCTGTCTTTAATGTCCTCGTCACACCCCCAGCAGTGCCACAGCCTTACCTGCCAACAGGGTCACACCGTGTCTCAGATGTCCCTGGGTCAGCTGTGAGTCAGCCCTGTTACCTGTTTCCTCTGGTGGATGCTCTTCCATGGGGGAGGTACATTTGGCCAGCCTCTCTGCAATGTGTTGCATTAATTATATTAACTGCTGGGTTGTGGTATTTTTTGTTGTTGTTGTTTGTTTGTTTTTGTTTTTTGAGTGGTTCACTGTCTTTTTTCTCTATCTTCTTAATGGAACAGTAGATGAAGGATTGAATTTTGAAATTGTTCTAAGGAGTAAACAGGAGAGGGTTACAATATGTTATTCTTAATAGAGATTAAGAACTTGGAAATGTCAC